TAAACAAACGACATTGACTTGACAAGATTAGATTCAAGGCCGTCTGGTCTCTACTAGATGCCTACTAATGAAAGTTTGGTTATATTGCTCCCATTTTTAACAACGTGCAACGTAAATGAATCAGAAACCTACGGGACATCAACTCTGATAGTAATCAAGCAACAAATACAGAAAAAAATACAGGAAAATTACATACCGTTACATATTTTCAGCCATTGCAATTGACCTCAACACAATTCGATGTTCCCAATTTCGTAACACAATTGACTGTAAAACATCCGTTAAACCGTATATACAACACTGAGATCGTTCTGGAAGGACTCGTCAAACACGGTTTCAAATACTTTCACTCCACATTTGCAATTTTCCAAAAAAATTACTGAAATAATTATCACTATCAGACATTCAACTCGGACAGGCATGGGGAAACTGCAAAAACAAGAGTAAAGCGCCATCTATTATAATTGAACAACACTTTTTCATCGTACCTATGTAACATACCAGTAGTCTTTTCCTGTGTGAGACATAGGTGGCGCCAACGCTTTCAGAAAATACTCTTCAACCACACCGTCTCTCCTCAATCGCACGTGTAACCAAATACTAACTACCGTATCTCAAAATTGTGAAATTAAGAAAAACATGACATGAATATTAAAAAAAACTGAATGAATCTTATTGCGACTAATGTGATTATTTTTATTTGATAAACACATATTACAAAGTAATTAGACTCAATTTACATTACAGCGGAACGGAAGCGAAAGTCGCTGAAATGCTCGAGCATTCGGAGACTTCGCCTTGAGGTTGTATAGGTGTTCAGCATAGACGATACACTATACTTGAGTGTTTAGTGTAAATCTTTTAAACTTTTACACAGTAGTTTGGTTTATAAATAGACAATAGTGTTTGTTGGTAGGCCAATGATAGTGTCATAAGAAAAATATTATCCTCCTATCATTCTTACTTAGTTATAAAATGTACATCTTTATCTAAAATTATATTTAAATATATTATTAAAACTCCACTTTCATTCCAGTAATCCTAAATCTTCGCTAAATTACAACTTACACAAGGGTGGTGGACTTTCATTGTTTTTATTTTAATTATTTGTGAAGCAGAAGAAGAGAAAAAGAACAACAGAAAATTTAAAAAGAGTTCTTTGGGTTCATGATTTATGGAAGCAACTGTTTGGGCAATATGAAACATTTTGCAAAGATTTATCTTTATCCTACTATGATTATTATGAAATGAGTTTTGATAAGTTGTATGGTATATGTTACCGCCACATATAATTTACAATTTTTGTTGCTGTAATTTTTAGCTTAATTACGTTACGATAGAATCATATTTTTGTACCTTTTCATCTGAATTCAAGTATTTTCTGACACGCCACGGTACTTATGTACTGTGGCTAGCATATAGTAAAGGCTGATCCCTTATGGTTATGAGCTTAGGATGCGTAGCGAGAGGTACTTTATGAATATAAACTGGGATAATCTTCAAAACTTGATATTTATTGTACTTTTTTACATGTTCACTTCTTGAGGTTACTTTTTTAACTATCAAGAAGTTCTTCTTTTCTATTCTATTTTTTCAAACACATCTGCAATACTCAAGTCAGGACTTGAGTATTGCAGTGAGCACTGAAAATCATACACAAGTTCTTGCCATTAGGGTCGTATTTCCAGTGCTTGAAATCATACTCAAATCTGCTCAAATCATGACTTGAGTATTGCAGTGAGCACTGAAAATCATACTCAAGTCCTTGCCATTAGGGTCGTATTTCCAGTGCTTGAAATCATACTCAAGTCTGCTCAAGTCCCGATTTGAGCATTGAGTATGGTTTAAAGCACTCGAAATCATACTCAAGTCCCTGCCATTAGGGTCGTATTTCCAGTGCTTGTGTTGCCAGTGCAATCCTGACTTGAGCATTGGATAGAGTTCTAGAATACGACTCTTAGGCACCGTTTGAGCTCTGGACTACAGCTTGTGAACATCAACTAATATTAATTAAGAGATTGCTCAAACTAACTCGGTTCGATATTTCGCTCCATGCAGTTCATATATCTGTCCTGTTTATTGAATAAATAAAATAATCATGTCAATCGGTCGCTCCGTTTAGAAATGAAAGTATACACAAACAAACAAATAAAAAGGCAACATACACAGTTTCGCATTTTAATAGTTATTAGTATTCTTAGATGGTAATTTTCGTAGATAATAGACCGCGGGGAATCATGTTTTAACAAGTTTTTGTTAAATAACCCGATTTGTGCATTCCTGTATCAATCGGCTGATTCATGCATGTTTGTCTTATTCCTGTCGGTACGTGCTGCATATGCAATCCTATACACAGCGTAATATTTATTTTATTTTCATTTGCGATTTCACGCGTAATAGATAAGCAGTACTTAAGTTCAGCACTTACTTACGTATTTCTTAAAACAAAACAATGTCGGAAGTAAAAAAGAAGAGACGGCAATACTGTGCGGAATATATTAAATTCGGAGTCATTGAAAATCCCACAAACCCGTCGTCGCCTTTGTGCTTTCTATGTCTAAAAATATTTTCGAATGAAGCAATGAAGCCTTCAAGACTGCAAGATCATTTGAATAAAATGCATCCAGATAAGAAAGACAAGAATGTAGCATATTTTCAAGACCTAGACAAGAAGCATAATACTCAGCCAAATGTAGAAAAACTCTTTTCGGCGGCTGCTAAGCAAGATGACGACGGACTTCGAGCTTCGTACCTACTCTCTTTGTTAATTGCTCAAAAAGGCAAACCACACAACATAGGAGAAGAGTTCATTTTGCCAGCAATAAAGGAAGTAATAACTACTGTGCTTCATAAACCGGCCGCAGATTCTGTGCAAAGACGAATTGATGAAATGGCTGAAAACATTGTAGAATCATTGTACAATGATCTGAGGACTAGTCAATTCTCAATTCAGCTCGATGAGTCCACTTTACCAACTAATGAAGCATTGTTGCTATCTTACGTGAGGTTTATTAAAGATGAGAAAATATGTGAAGAACTATTGTTGCTAGAAATTTAGAGACCGATACAAAAGGCGAAACCATATTCAATACATTGGAAAAGTTTTGTGATGAGGAAGAGATTCCCTTGAAAAATATTACATCAGTTGCTACCTTTTCCATCATCTAAGGTTGCTACGGATGGCGCTCCGGCTTTGACAAGGTGCCATAAAGGCTTCATAGCGTACTTAAAAAATAAAATTCCAAATGTTCTTGCTGTACATTGCGTTATTCATAGACAACATTTGGTTGCCAGAAATTTAATTGAACGACTATTTCAATCACTGCAATATGTCATCAAAGCAGTCACTAAAATCCGTAACAGCTCTTTGAATGATAGATTATTTCATCAGCTTTGTGTTATTAATGACGAAGATTTCAACTGTTTGTTGTTTCATACTGAAGTTCGTTGGCTATCAAGAGGCAAATGACTTAATCACAACAAACAATTAATTTAATTTGAAGTTATAGTGGTTTTTAAGTAGGTGAAAAAATGGGGGCGTTACAAAATAATTTATTCTCAAAGTGGGCAGTAGACAAAATAAGTTTGGGAGCCCCTGAACTAGAATAATATTGTCGCTGAAAAGACGAAATTACTATTAGGTATCCAAAGGGAAAAATGGCGCTTTAGTACTTTCACCTTTCCAGTGACGATGTTTTCATTTTAGTGTAATCACTAATCAGATCTAAGCTAGGTGTTGTGGTTCTCGAGATTGACAAATGGTGCCGCTGGTATAAGCATATTCCAGCGTGGACAGTAAAACACCCTTGTAACTTTTATATGTCAAACAGACCTAAATTTAGTTTTTTGCGACTAGAATCGACTAAATAGCGAGTTTTTTCCTGGCTAGTCAATTTCAAAAATTCTACCACGGTCACGCTAGAACAAGTCGCGCGTTTTCATTCAGTATCACTTTTTTTTAACTTCGTGATTTCTCAATTCCACAATTTTGAGTTACACTATTTTTGTTCATGTGCGATATAATTATTACATAGGACTATCTTAGTCATAGCGTGTGTATTTCTAATTGATTTCTTTACTTTTTGACTACGTAATTTCTTCTTTTAAATTACTTATCCGTGTGTGTTATAATAAATAAAAAACTCACAATAATTATACATTCATTTATTAATCGGAATTTAATACTGTATTACATAGAAGAAATGCACTTCTTAGAAACATTCAGAAGACCTCCCTGTGGGACAGTTTTAATAAAGGATCCTCTCTCCATTTTTATTTATTAATTAATAAATACAAACTATTTCGTTCATTCCTTATAATTTGGATCAATCTTTTATGAAGATCTGCATTGCCACATACTTAGAAATCTATGTATATTTTTCACAAACTCACAATTTAGGAAATAATAATTCTTAAAATAGTAAAGCATGAGAAGTACGATTGCCTAAGAGACATTTGAATAAATAAAATTTTGCAAAACAACAACAAATAAACTCTTCATAAGTTAGTGGTTATACTGTCGCTGCCACATAATTTGTCAAAAGAAATCAGAACCAACTATAGAAACGTCAATTCGGTGACCACTTAGAAAGGCGTTTTGACTCATATCCAACATAGTGAATACTCAAATCTTTTTGTGATAAACACACAGCGCAAGAGAAGATTACTACCAATATAAATACAAACATCTTAATTCATTCAGTCAAAGTGGAACAATATGTATAAAATATTTATCAATAAGAAATAATCAGTCTTGTTTAGAGAAAACGTTCGAAACACGAGCAGACTTGCACGTTTCGATATAATAATTATCACAATACAGTATGTCAGATATGATGTCATCCCTTCTCTTGGACGTATCTAGAATATAAATCGCCAGCTACGCTACTTAGTGTTATTATCACAGTTGTTTTAGTAGAGGTGGGTGCAGTACTTTGTACATTTTTTAATACAGGAGCTACCTGCTATCCATACGTTCGACACACGCTTGCCGATCTCTACGCACGTAACTAGCCAACCTTCCTACTGCCAGCAGACTGACATCGCACACTACATCACATTCTCTCTGGATATCAAATAGCAACAAACTAGTAACGACTCCCGAGGGCATGTTTGCTGTAGGAACCATCTTTGAGATGAGATTATGCTCATTATACACATCTTTCATTGGCAGTCTCATTAATATTGTACATAATAACAAAGTAAATCTCGCATCCTAATGGGCTGTAACGCGAGACTCGTAAACACGTTGTTCACCCCTTTTTAACTGCTGAGACCTGGTTTTATAACACCTTACATGTTTTACGGGATTCTTATTAGGTAGAGATAATAACTTTTACGTCCCTTTTAAACTGGTTCAATTTCGTCACCTACAGGTTAACTGAAAACTAAATTGAATAACAATAAATTATTAAATCTTACAACTATTATATTATTATATCTGTGAACGTGTCGCGAGCAATGAGTCACACCATTCGTGAAATTCCTTCAAATAGTCAAAAAATATATATTTTTTGTCTAGTAAAACACTATCCATCCAGACAATGGGAGTGTTCTTATGCATTAACAATTGACCAACGCAACGATAGGTTATATAGTAATGAAATATCACAGATTTTTACAAATCTTTGGACTGCAACGGGCTTTCTAATACGTACGTAATAACTGCATCATATTTTGTACCTATTGACTCCTATCTTAAGCCCTTAAACCCGTTTACGTACAAAGAAACTTCAGTAATTATCTAGTCAAATTATCTGAAATCACATAAAAGTAATCCAAAAAAAAAACAAATACCATGAAATCGCTTATTTTGCTAAGAAACGAAAATAAACATTGTTCATTATCTATCACGCTCAAAATACTAATCTGCCTAAGGTAAATGCATGTTATTTACATACTTTCTACATATTAAGATGTTAAAACTGTTTGATATAGCATTTCAAGCCCAGCTTTCGTCTGTAGTCAATTTGACGCAGACTAATAAATATCCCTAGGCATAACATATTTTTAATATTCAATATCAAGATCTAATCCTTCAATAAAAAAATAGCCTTCAACTCAGTGACCTCAATGTCATCACTGTGCATAAGAAAAATATTCACAATTTTATCTGGCAATACAGATTGTTAATACCAAGTATGTAATTTAAAAGCATTACTTCAACGCGTTCTAATACTAAGTTTCCATTTTTCACTGGATTAACAATAAAATAATTTATTAAAATACTTTAGATAGCTTTCGGTCTCTTTACTTCTGCTAAAATTTCACTCATCTTCTAATGTTTCGTGCATTTCGTACATCATACAGACATATTAAAAGAAAAAACGAAAGGCACCCGGGATTACACAAGAGGGTACCCACACCAACTACTCTAACAAATATAATGATTAAATCTAATGGTGGAATCCACAAGTTAGTCCAAAGCATCCACCTCGAATCTTATCTTGGATTACGCTATGTTGGCTTCATTCGAATTCCGCCTAAGTCGAAACCAGACAAATGAACACATGAACAAAACCCATTTGTTGATGACAGACTGTGTTAAAATACCACTTTGAACCAATTTTGTATCCCTTCTGATAAAAGATAAACGTGAATCTAGCCAACAAAGAATAATCCCTTAATTTATATAAACTAACACACATATTCGTTAACATTAATTCAACTGTATCTGAAAAATAAAAGTGCACAGGTATTAACAGTTCTAATTTAACACATCAATTGCCATCTACGAGGTATCTTGTAGTTATTTTTATAGTCGGTGCCAGATACGATATATTAATCATAAAATACAGGGATTATACACTTAATTACACAAACTTCCATTAATTTAAATATTTCATTAAGTAATATGCTAAAGTAAAAAATAGTATCATAGTCGGAGACATTAAATAATATAAATAATGTTTCTGCATCATCTCCCTGCTTAGTAGGCAAGTAAAAAGTCTGGCACCTCGAGAACGGCGCGAAAATATGTTTCGGATCACAAATGAATCTATTCATTAAAAAAACTTATGAAAACACTGGAGTGCATTCATACTAATAGCAGTATATATTTGAAATTTACAGGTGGGAAACGAAAACAAGTCCATCACAATGTTGGCATTAATGTGTTAAGCAAATTGCCCTGCTTCACTTTCTTATGAAAGAGAAAGTATTGTTTGAGCCATATTTGAACACCAGAAGAAAAATATAGAAAAATCCTACAGGTAGTATTTCACAAAATTTAATAATCGTGCAAAAAAACACTAACATCGATATAGTCAAGCGTCAATGGAGCAAAGGTAGCATTTAAAAAAATCATTTGATCACCAAATTGGTTAATGTATTATTATTAGAAGATTTAATTTAAACGTCAAATTGTCTATAACGAACTCAACTTTAATTTGAGCACATTCCTTCAATTATAGTTATAAATGTTTTTTTAAGCCAAAAATATAAATAAATGTTAGCATCCATGTTTATATACTTTAATGTGGTGAACAAATATAGCCCAAGTCCCTGACCTTTCTTTTTTTTAATATACCTGTTACTTATAATATTAACCACAATTCAAATTTTGTTAAGTTTTCATTCAGATCTAGAAATATTCAAAATAAAATAATTAGAAGAAAATATCTCAATACTCCAATGACAAGTTTGTCGATTAGAATAATATGTTTCAGAAAGTATGTAAACATTCTGAAATCGTGAAAAATCAAGGGAGAGATTGTGTAGCTCTAAGATTCTTTTGGAGTATAGAGAGAGGGAAAAATGCCATGACGCCCTTTCGTCAAGCATATAATGTGAAATGACGAATTACCGAGGGCTTTATGGCTATCGTAGTAAAATTACTGCTGAACAGGGGCCGCATAGAGGAGAGGCCCAGGCGGCAGGTGCGGGTAGGGCACGCCAGCGCCGACTGCGGCCTGGTAACCGCAGGGACCACCACCACCGACACCTCCGCCGTAGAATTTGCCACCTGTGCAACATAATGACATATTAACAATACATCACAGCGTGTTTTCTGTTGCCAGACCTCAAGACAAAAATCTTAAAAGAACAAGTTGCATTAGTGATTTCAATTTGATGTTTCATTTCAAATTTTTCATAAATTAGGTATTTTCAGATAGGAATATATCTATCCGTACCAAGCATGTCATGGTGTTGAGGATGCATCTGTGGGTAATGTGGGGGAGTAGCAAAGTGCGGCGGCGGTGAGCCAAAGGAAGAACCTGATCCAGACTTATTTCCATTAGAGTTGTTGTTACGGTATTGATGTCCACCATTGCGAGAGTCTGAAACAAAGTTCTCGTTAGTTCTTGTTACATTTGTTATTACTTAGATAAATTAACATAAACAATAACATAAAGATTTGTATTATTTGAGTCACTTACTGTTGTAAGTGCGCTGTCCATATCCATTCTGATTGTTGTATCCACTCTGATATCCATTATTGTAGCCACCTTGATATGTTCCCATGGACTCGAAAACATTGGGGCTAGGGAAAGGCACTTGCTTTTGATAATTATTCTGTCTGTAACCCTGATTGCCTTGATTCTGGTTGTTGTTATTGTTGAAGCGCGGCGCTTGCTGGTTGTTGCTACGGCTCTGGAAGGTATTCTGTATCTCTTCAACAGGCGATTTCGCCATTTTGTTGCTCCACTGGTTATTTTGTTGGCGTGGCGAGCTGGAGCTGCTGTTGTTCTCCTTACGCTGTTGCCAGCGATTGCGACCTGCAGGAATGTTATTGTTAGTATCAGGAACAAATACAACAAGCATAGGTTCAGCCTCGGAGAGATTCCTAGCTCACCAGAATTGTTGTTAGCATTTCTAGCCATTTCGACTAGTTTAGCCGGAGGATTTTGACCAGTTTCTCTCAGTACTGCCACTAATCCACGGGCCTGTCTAGAATCTCCGCTTGTGAAGTAAGTATATGCAGTGCCCGACTGTTGGCAGCGCCCTGTGCGACCTGTATGCAAGGACATTATTAATTAAAACATTGTTAAATGGGTAACTACATTTTATCATTTATTGTAGTCTCTTTCACTTACCAATCCTGTGAATGTAATCTTCTGAAGAATTCGGGTAATCATAGTTGACTACAAACTTCACATCTTCGACGTCAAGGCCACGTGCAGCGACATCAGTAGCGATCAAAATAGTAGTGGCGCCATTCCTAAACTCGGTGAGCACGGCGTCGCGTTCCGGCTGTGACTTGTCACCATGAATAGCGAGAGCTTTGTGACCGTTGCGACGAACTGCCCGCGCAATGTCATCCACCTGAAATAACAAATCATAAATTGTAAATATCATCTGAATCAAGATAGTAAAAATTAAAAAAACTGTTTACCTTTTTCTTTGTCTCCACAAATACAATAACTTTATTGTCTCTTTCAGATGAAATTTCCTTTAATAAATTGGTGAGTTTCACCTCTTTTTCATGTTCTTCACAAAGTTCAACAATTTGTTTGATGTTGTTATTAGCAGACAAATTCAAAGATCCAATGTTGACTTTAATGTAGTCAGTTAGGAAATCTTCTGCTAGGGCTTGGATCTCCTTAGGCCAAGTAGCAGACCACATCAAAACTTGGCGATCAGGGCGAATCTGTTCAATAATTTTCCGAATTTGGGGTTCAAAACCCATATCTAACATCCTATCTGCTTCATCCAGAACCAAGTATGTGCAACGGCGTAAATTGGTGGTGCCACGTTCCAGAAAATCAATCAGTCTTCCAGGTGTGGCAATGACAATCTCAACTCCTCTTTCCAAGTCTCTCGCCTGTGGCCCTTTGGGTGAGCCACCAAAAAGACAAGTGTTTCTGATGCAACCCCGAGCACTGTAAGCTTGAGCCACAGATTGAATCTGTTGTGCTAGTTCCCTTGTTGGTGCCAAAATTAATGCAATGGGACCATCACCTCTTTGAATTCTCTGTTGGTGCATAATATGAACTGCAGCAGGAAGCATGTATGCAAGAGTCTTCCCCGATCCAGTAGAGGCTATACCAACCATATCTCGCCCTGACAGTGCAATGGGCCAACCCTGAGCTTGAATGCCAGTAGGTTCTAACCACCCTTGCTCTTTTATAGTATTCATGACATGGTCAGGGAAATTACCCTCATCAAATACTTGGTTGGGGCGTGGCACATTGTTTCCACTGACCGTAATTTCCTTGGTTGAACGGAAACCATCTACATCGTCTTCAGTGCGAGATTCAACATCAGCATGGGGTTTATAGAAGTTTTTCTGGATAGGTTCAAGGTTTCCCAGGTCCCACATTGGCTTTACTAAGCTATCACCTGGGTGTTTCGCCTTCTTACTTTGTTGTTTACGGTTGTTGAAATCAGCTGACTGCTGTCCAGGTTGAATGTTGAATGTTTTCTTGGGTCCAAAGCTCTGTTGTTGTCCATTGTGACCATTCTGATTGTTATAGTTTTTTGGTCCAAAACCATTCTTGTTGAAGTTCTGATGCTTTGGCCCTCCAAACTCATTTTTATTGTAGAATTGCATATTTCCACTCTTATCATCATCATAATCGTTCCTTTTTTGAGAATCATAGTTGTTTCTGGGCTTGTATTCTTTCGGGCCACCAAAATCATTTTGGTTTCCATCATTTTTGTGACCATACTCATTCCTCACACCATTAAAGTCATTTCTTGGGCGAAAATTGTTTTTGTTTCCAAAGTTGTTCATGCGGGGTCCAAAGTTCTTGGGTCCACCAAAGTCAGGCATACCATTAAAAAATGGTATTTTTCCGAATTGTTCATTCCGGTCTGGTCGAGGTCTGAAACTACAAATAATTAAAACCACATGGAAGAAAAGTAAACATCCTTTATTAGGTGCTTTTAGTAAATCAAACAATTAGCCCCACACTAATGCCACTATGTCATACCTATGTACAAAATATTACAGTGGTACCCAGTAATTCAGGGTACATTTTTTAAAATTTTTTTTGGTACTAAATGATTCACCATTCTATATGTAAAATTTGTTGCCTGCAAACAAAAATTTATTGTTGATATCCTGAATGTGCTGGTTCGAATCCAGCAGCATTGGAGGAATTTTTCTTAGGATTCAATCCTCATATTAACAATTATAACTAGTGGAGTATTTCACAAAACCAAATGTAATGCCATTGTAGTGAAACATCGTGATATTCAATAAACTTTGATATTATAATTTGGTAGCATAGTCAATTGATTTCGTAAAAAAATTGATTAGTAAATAATTCGCTTTTATTTTAATGAGGGTATGTAGACCTTACAATGGGACTAAGGATCGTATTCCAGAACTCTACTCAATGCTCAAGTCAGGACTTGAGTATTGCAGTGAGCACTGAAAATCATACTCAAGTCCTTGCCATTAGGGTCGTATTTCCAGTGCTTGAAATCATACTCAAGTCTGCTCCATTCCTGACTTGAGCATTGAGTAGAGTTCTGGAATACGACCCTAAGGATGGGATTGGGACTTCGATTAAGCAAAAATGGCAAACTTAGCAAGTTTTTCGTATTTATAAATCGAACCTAGTCGAAACAAGTTGATCTGTTAGCAGCCTAAGTTTAAACAAGAAAAATCTTGCCAAGTTTTAAATTAAAACTTTAAGTTAATACTTTCGTATTATATGTATATATGTATTATTAATACTGGGTTAGCTCGCCATTTAAATTGCCACCAAAATTAGGTAGAGAAAACTAAATGAAAATTACCCAATACTAAAAACTGCAACTTTTTTAATTATACAATTTTACACCACGTTTGCGGAATCCTCGATTATTTCGATGGGGCCATAACATTTAAAAGAAGATATGTACAAAAAAGAAATCAAACTGAATGCCCAATGCCCAAAGAGACTTGTTAAATGAAATTTTAGATTTTAAATGTTAATTACATCTAAAAGGACTTTCACTAATCGTTGACATACTTAGCAATGTACGTGAAAATCCCATATTCTTTTGATGATGTTCTAATTAGAACTCGCAACTATAAATTATTCATTACAGGTACTTTAATTTGACAAAGCTATTTCAAATCATAACGCAGGTCTTATGAACAACGATAAAACGGGAACAACGTATAGGTATAGAGAAAGTAGGTGAATGGATAGTAGCAAATTAGAAAAAATTCGCCACATTGAAACCACTTCCTCAATAACTTGGCCTAATATCAATCAATGACGTCAATTATTTTGTATTGTCTTTCGAGCTTTTGGATTTTCATAAATACTTGCAAGTTAAAACGGGTACAAGTAAATAGTAACCATTATCAGCTGAGCATGAGGATTTCACAAAATGGCCGCTGCTGTTACTAAAACAGGTCAATGAGGAAACGGCACATCGATTGCCCACAAGTATAAGTTTAGTTGGGTATTCTACTCACATCGGATGCTGATTATGGAAGCCGTTGTACTGCATTATGCTGTTTTAATCCAAATAAATGGATCTACGTGGTAATAAACGCTTGAATAGGTAGGTAGGAATCTGGAACAATAGAACAGGAAGACCATAGTTTTACATCAGCAAATTTTATTCTACAAAACACGTTAACAAATATCTATTAATCCGAAAAAACGATCTTACCTCTCAAATTTGAGAGAATTTAGAGTTTTTTTGAGTTTTTCATTCACTTACGACCCTCACAGACCCGGCGAACGAACAACTCAATAATGTCGGCCGGAAACGGAAAGAGTTGGTTTTTTTTTAATAATTGCCATTTTAAATATTTGTTATTGATCCAAATACGTAGAACTTGATTCAGCCAATCGATTTAAGCACATTTTATATTTGGGAACAATTTCTTTTAGGTAGAGCCAATGCAAATACCTAAAAATTGTTGTCAACTTTTCTTTGTCTTGATTGGCTTCTGATTTCCCACTCTTAGAAGTAATATATCGAAATTTATAATCGAATGGACTGTTGTTATCGTTTATCTGGCAATACCAAGTATATTTAATCGTTGGAAATACCACAAAAAAAATCACATTTTAGCGCATTTAATTCTATATTCTAACTAACTACTACTAACTTAACTACTACTACTACTACTACTTAACTAACTTCTACTAACTTTTTGTCACATCGAAATACTTAGTTGAAAAGGATTATTAAGAGACTATACTGTACAGGGGAACTCTTAAAAAAATTCAATATGTATATTATTATTTTGAATTTTTTTACGGATAATTTTGATCCTTTATAATTTATGAATACTTTTTTACTATTATTATTATTATTATTTATTACGTTGTTGTGTTAAGGTTTAGATACTTCACCGATTAGTTTTGATAAGTAGTTTTAAGCTGCTTGCCTCGTTGCCAAAGCTCAATAAATTTAAAAAAATCAACTCTATCGAAACCATTTCCATCATTTGCTCATAGCAAATGAAATGATTTCCATAGAAAAAACTATCATTCATCAACTTTTCTTTTGTTTATCAACTCACCAGTGGTGCCTTACCTATGAGACGTTAAAGCTAACTCGACAGAACAACCACGAGTTGAACTCGAACCGAGTGAACCGACGATTCACAGACTCGACGCGACTCGAGCGTGCTCCGAAGGTCACCGAACGAGTAGCCGCTGCGCATTGCGTTGCATGAATGATGTTTGAAGAGTAGTTCACTAAAGTAGTCTAAAGTAAATAGTCTACGACTAAAGTAGTCTGTGGTTTGAAGTATTCGGCTCGGCGCGCGACGACGGGGTACTGAACTGAGACAACTCGAGTTCATAAAAAAGTAACTCGAGTTGACTCGTTGTGGGAATAACTCGGCTCGCCATCGCTAGTCTATGGGTCGTATTCAAGAACTCTACTCAGTGTCGTATTCTAGAACTCTACTCAATGCTCAAATCAGGATTTGAGTATGGTTTCATGATGGCAGGCCATTAGGGTCGTATTTCTAGTGCTTGAAATCATACTCAGATCCTGACTTGAGCATTAAGTAGAGTTCTGAAATACGACCCTCAATGCTCAAGATTGTTAAGTGTTGTGTCATCCGCGTAAACAATTATTTTATAATTTGTTAATTGGAGTTTACAGATCTCATTTATATAGCATAAAAAGAGGATTGGGCCAACAATACTACCTTGCGGGACACCATGTGTAATAGGGAGCTCATCACTAAGGTAGTCACCAAGTTTGACACGCTCAGTTCGATTTGTCAGGTATTCTGTCAATAATTTTAACTGTGTTCCTCTAATGCCAATCTTTTCCAGCTTCCCTATCAGGTTTGGAATTGAGACCGTATCGAAGGCTTTTGCGAGGTCAATGAAAATAGTAAAGCACTTCTTACTGCTGTCAAGCTTTTTAACTAAAAAATCTGTAAAATCATGAACCACATTATCGGTAAATATGTTTTTCCTAAAGCCATATTGAGCCTTCGCAAGAATGTGTTTGGTTTCAAGGCAGTTGACAAGTCTTTTATTGATAACACGCTCAAATATTTTAGACAAGGAAGTAAGAATGGAAATGGGTCTATAGTTATTGGCGTCTACCCCGACCTTGTAAATCGGATGAACAATGGATTTTTTGAAATGATGAGAAATGTCAGATAGTCAAATGTCAGATATGTCTATTGATTATGTTTTGGAAGTATGTGCGACTGATTTAGTTAAGGAAAATATTTTATTAGTAGTTGTGTATTGGAATAGAAGAGAGGAGGACATATTTTGGAATAGACTGAACATAATATTAAATTATTTAAGAAAAAAATTTAGCAGGAAGAATATAATTATAGGAGGAGACTTTAATATCGATCTCAATAATAATTTAAAATCTAAACAATTGTTAGAGACGATGTCAGAATATAATTTTACACAACATGTTAGAAAACCAACACACATAACACATACAGTTGCTACATGCTTGGATTTAATTTTTACAAATTTTACTGCTAACAATATGCACGCTACAGTCGAAGAATTAGGCTTTTCAGACCATTCAGCCACAATCTTGCATATGGAACTTTCAGAAGAAAAAAAGTTTAAAATCTGGTGTGCGGAAAAAAGGCTCTATAATAAATTTAACAGTGAGAAATTTAAATACCAACTAAAAACAATAAATTGGTTCGAGTTAATTGATAAAAACAAAAATGTCAATGAAAATTGTAAACGCTTTATTAGTTTAATATTAAAAATATTAGATGAATTCATTCCAAGGACAAAAATAAAAATTAAATCCGATAAAAAATATTGGTTATCGTTTGGCATAAAAAAATCTTGTTTGAATAAGAGATTATTAAAAATTTTCACTTCTAAATGTAATAATCAAATCTTAAACACTTATTATAAGAAATATGAAAAGCTCTTAAAGCGTACAGTTATCACAGCAAAACGCTTACAATACATAGATAAAATGAAAAGATCAAATAACAAAGCTAAAACGATGTGGAATATAGTTAGGGAGAGAACAAATAAAACTATTAAAAGAGAAAAAACTAATATACAACTAAAAATAAACAATAGCCATATCTTAAACCCAAAGGAAATAACAAACATGTTCAATGATTATTTTGCGTCGATTGGCGAAATTAACGTTAACTCGTGTTATAATGAACCGAAAGGGCGACCAGTGCTTAACCCGCTCGAAAACACAATGTTCGTTAAACCTGTTACTATTCTCGAGGTACATACCATTATAAAATCCTTAAAAAACAAAAAAAGCTGTGGAATCGATAGCATTCCGCCAGCATTGCTTAAAGAATGTGCTGACGAGCTAGCTCTGCCATTCTGGTTACTGATAAATCAGTCATTTGAAGAAGGCACAGTCCCGGATCAGTTAAAACAAACAATAGTTAAACCGATCCATAAAACTCAATCAAAAAATGATAATTATCGCCCAATAGCTCTTTTGCCCTCGTGTTCAAAAATTTTTGAGAAAGCTATGTATAATAGACTCTACAGTTTCTGTGAAAAGTTTAATATATTCAACGAAAGTCAGAACGGCTTCCGCAAAAAACGGTCAACTGTCTTAGCGGTATATAAATATATTCAAGAAGTGCTTAATATAATCGATAAAAAGAAATACGCTATTGGCATATTACTAGATATGTCAAAAGCTTACGATAAAGTACAACATAAAATATTATTAGATAAACTAAAGGGCATAGGTGTTCGCGGTAAAGCCCATGACTGGTTTGCGTCATATTTAAGAAATAGAGTTCAATTCGTTGAAATAGATTATTTTAATTATGGGACAAAAGAAATACAAAAAATAAGATCGGATCCAAAAATTATAAATGCCTCAATACCACAAGGAAGTATTATTAGTTGCCTCCTATTTCTCATTTATATAAATGACCTCCCTACAGTCACTGACGAAACTTGTATATTGTTCGCAGATGATATTTCCATATTAACGTCATGTGAAAATAATGTTCTTTTAAACAGCAAGCTCCAAATACTTGTAGAAAAAACCGAGTCATGGCTGACAGACCACAATCTAGAAATTAACTATGCAAAAACTAAATTAATGTCTTTTCACCCACATCAAAAACAACCAATCAATATTAATTTTAGTTATAAAAACATAAATTTGGAAGTAGTAAATAGTTGGACTTTGCTTGGCTTAAATATAGATTCCAATGTTAATTTTAAATCACATATTCAAAAAATTCGTATGAAAATGTCAAAATTTTATTATGCACTTTATGAAATAAAAAAAACTACAGACACACAAACAGCGATAACGACGTACTACGCATATGCCTATGCTTGGCTAAGTTACGTAGTTACTCTGTGGGGTAATAGCACTGATGCACCATCGCTTTTCACATTACAGAAAAAAATAATAAGAATAATTTGTAACATAAAACAAACCGACACATGCAAGCCTCACTTTCAAAAACACAAAATACTAACCTTACCATGCATTTATATTTTAGAAACGTGTAAATTTTTACGTAAACACCCAGAATTATACACCAAACGCTCAGACCTCTCCACACACCACACATCAAGGTACCCAAACAAATTAATGCTGCCCCGCTCTCGTCTCAAAATACATGCAGATGGCCCATTGGCCATGTCCATTAAAATTTATAACAAATTACCCGTCAAAATTCTGAATATAGATAATAATAAGAAATTTATATCAGAGCTGAAACAAATTCTTCTGTCGAAAAGCTATTACAATGTTGATGATTATTTAAACGATAGATACATAATTAATTAATGGCTTGACATTTTAAATAGACTTAAATTAAATTCTAATTATTTGACATTTTAAATATATATAAATTCTAATCATTTGACATTTTAAATAGTTTTTAGTTTGACTACAGGATAATTATTATTGACATTTATTTTTCATAAAAATTTTTAATATTTGGTGCATTTAATTTTTAAGATTTATAATTTGTATAATTGTTCATATCTGGAAATAAATATATCAACATAGCGTCCTCCTCTCTACCGAAATTGCTGTGCCCAACAGGGTCCACAATTGATGCTCATAGATATAAGTTTTTCATCTCTGTATTTTTACATTGTGGAATGCAATAAATTACTGATTACTGATTACTGAAGGCATCGGGAAAAGTACACAGAAATGGACAAATTAATCTTTTAAACAAAACATCTTTATATATTAAGTCACTAACTAACTTTTGTCGCCTATCTATGTCACCTCTGCTGAGATCGGACGGCACGCTGGTCTATACTGCAGAAGACAAGGCAAATCGTTTTGCCTCACTCTTTGCAAAGAGTTCGCGTCTGGATCTCATCTTGCCTCAGCCTGGCTGCACTATGGTGCCAATTCGCATACACCAAAAAGAAATACTTAGAACTCTGGACGTGAATAAAGCTAGCTGGCCAGACGGAATTCCAGCACTAGTCCTACGTAACTGTGCGCCTGAGTTGTCTCCTGTTCTCACACGCCTACGCCTGTACCGCCTCTCACTTGAGACTGGTGTAGTTTCCAGGTCGTGGAAGCTTGCAAACGTGCAACCTGTGCCGGAAACGGGAAGCAGAGCTGACTCTGTCAACTATAGACCTATGTCAGTCACTTCCGTACTCTGTAAGACTATGGAACGTGTACTCAACAACCGTCTCTTGTCGTACCTTGAAGACAACGACCTCGTCAGTGATCGCCAGTACGGATTCCGACGAGGGCGATCAACTGGTGATCTTCTTATGTATGCCTATCACATATGGAGCGAGGCGCAAACCTTTTAAGTAAGCTTCCCTTTTATGGGCTTCCCACTTTGCAATTGGATCTCAGATTTCTTGAGCGAACGTTCGATTTGAGAGGATTTAGAAGGCTACTTTTCCGAAAATATGGCGATAGATTCCTCAGGGTTCCATACTGGCAACTCTCTTTCTACTGCATATCACACCTGAAATTATACCATATTATACTATTGCGTATACTGATGACAACACAGTTGTAGATAGATACTTGACCAATGCAAGGGTTAGTGGAGAGGAAATCCAGTATTGTCGAGAGTCTATGGTTAGCTGTTTGGATTTGACACTCAAGCAGTCTCCGATTGGGGCGATGCCAATCTTGTCAAATTCAATGCTACCAAACGCAGGCATGTCTATTATCCACAAAACGGAGTCCCTTTGAGCTGACTCCGACTTTTCGTGATATATCCATACTGGTAGCCGACTGTCTCCAGCTACTTGGAATGGACCTGTCGTCCAATTTGTACTTCGGCAGATATATTGAATCCATGGCCAGACGTGCAGCGAGGAAGCTTGGGATCCTTTCCAGAGTGAGGCGTTACTTCACACCGGGACAGTTGCTTCAGCTGTACCAAGCGCAAATCCTGTCGTGCATGGAGTACTGTTGCCACCTTTAGAATGGCTCTGCTACATACCAACTGATCACCTTGGATTGAATTGACAACCGTGCCAAGAAGCTTATAGGTGACTCGGAATTAGTGGAAGCGAAGCTGCAGAGCCTTGAACATCGCCGTAAAGTTGCCAGCTTATCTGTATTTTACAGGATATATCACGGAGAGTGTGCGATGGAATTACACGATTTAATTCCGCTTTCCTCTGTCCATCACTGGAGGACTACGCGTTGACTTGGGTGCCACCTCTATGTTGTGGATATTCCAAAGATTCGCACGAAGCATTACGCTTCCACATCTATATGGCGAACGGCTATGGATTGGAATTCCCTGCCTGCAGACTTGTTCCCTGAACGTTATAACTTGGGCCTTTTCATGGCGAAAGTGAATGGGCATTAATCCATCGTCGACCTCATCGTCACTTTCCATCAGGTGAGATGGAGGTCAAATGCGAACTTACATTTTATAAAAAAAAAGTTTTATCTTAGAAAAGTAATTTTCTGGCGTCGTCATTTTCACATACACAATACGGAAGCGTGCGCGTGCATACGATCGGAGCGCCTGATGGAACTGAATGGCGCGCCGATTGCGTTTGTCAGTGGCGGCGGCGCGAGGAAAAACGCGGCGGCGGCGGCGGCGGGTTATGGACGTTTCAATTAACGCCTGCATAGAATGCACATGATCTCTTCCCCATCGTGCGCTCACTGTAAGTAACTACTCCAACCAATCCTTGCATCATATATTTTTCGGTTGCCCACATTTTTCTATCGCTAGAATAATTCTCATCGATAATCTTCTTGAACTATACAAAACCCCTGAAAACAACCCGCTTTCTTTACCAGATCTCCTGAAAAATCAAGAATGTTGTCTAATTTTATATTATTTCGTAAAAAGCACTATCGAAGACATTTCATTTTTGTAATGGAATACAAGAAAGCGATTATTCTCAGTCTTGGCTGTATGACATATTAGTGCCTTTGCCCTTTCCAATGGAAAAAACCAGTACCAAAAAAAAAGTGATGTGTTTCGACTAGGGATGTTCCGATACCACAAAAGTATCGATACCTACGCAAAGATTTTGATAATCGATTATTACTGCGAATTTTTCGTAATACCTAAATTTAACATTAATTTATATAAAACCTGAAATACAAATTCCCGCAAAACTACATAATAATAAAATTCTTTATTTAGGTAACATGGACCCAAGGAGTTAGTCACAAACTCACTTAAATCTAATGTTAATTCATGTACACAAAACAACAAAGTCAAAGCGCAGGACACCACTACTTATTTTTAAGTACGTAAATCATTGAACAATTATACACGTACTTAAAAATGATGTTGATCGGGATGCTGTTGGGGCTGGCCCTAATCCTGCGCGCCAGGGATGTGCTTCGTTTACGCATCGTAGTGTAGAAGCAATCTACACTTGCCTCCACGAACATCCCTGATGCGCTGCAGGACCGCGGCAGCCCCTGCAGCATCCTGAATGCATTATTGTATTGAACACGTAGAGCACTGTACTGTTTCTGAGTGAAACTAACTCACAGATTGTTTGGCTGGAGCATCGTACAATAACATCTGAACAGTGTAATTTTTGCTTCAGTAGAACAGTATGCAAACCTGCGGGCTAACATATTGGTTCTCATAGACAGTGCTCTACGCTCTTGTTCAATATCGGCGTTGTCGTTAAGGTCAGGTGTTACTAAATACCCAAGATACTTAAACTGATCCACTCGCTTAAGTGGACTCCCGTTTAACAAAACAGGTGGAATATTTGACAGAATTATGTTTAACCTTAAATACCATGCATTCTTTTTTAGTTACGTTGTTTTTTAAATCATAACTAGCCCCACATCTTTCACAAATACTTATCAGTTTCGTTAGACAAACATAAGCGCTCAGCAATACCATGTCGTCTGCGTAACTAATATTGTTGATACATATGTCGTCAATATAGCAGCCAACACGGGCACCGCTCAGCTCTCCTATAAGAACCCGCCAATTCTCTTTTTGAACTTCGCTCATTCGCTGAGATGTATGTAGTACCATTCATCCAAAAATGATCCAAAGGGACCATAGATAGGCATACATATTTTTTACTCTGGTACTTCGCAGTTTGCATTTGTTTTCTGTAAAACGGTGAAAATGCAAAGAAAAATCATTTGTAAAAAAGATGTTCTTTTCCTGGGAAGTGGGAATAAGGTTAAATATTTACGCGTGCGCGTTTCGATTCGATACCAGTATTTTTCTTCCGATACCGAGTAACAATCGAAAGAAGAGTATCGATACTAAAAGTACTCGGTATCGAAACAAAAGTATCGAGTACTTACTCGTATTTACTTGTATCGACCATCCCTAGTTTTGACATCTTGATTCTGACAGTTTTTCATGTTGCTTTTCAGTGCTTTCAAGAATTTGAAGTCCCAAAATGAAAATTTCGTATTACAGTGTAATGGAACATTATTATTAGTATAATTTACTACAAGTGAACTGTAATATGCCATATTTCCAAATATCAACAAAGTTACTATTTGCAGTAAAGACAGATTCATATTGTGAATAATATTTGAGATCCAAGACTGTTACTACTTTATGAGAATCATTGATTTTATTGGTTGAATAATTTCCATCCATATCTCCATACCACATAGCAAATAAATATTTCATTGATACGTTGTCTACAAATTGTAATTGTGCTTTGTGTCAAGTTACAACACTATTAGTAATAGTACTTATTAATACATATTACTAATAGTGTGTATTAATAACACATTGTATTAAATCTGTTTAAGATGAAACAAACACCAATGTAGCAAAAGAGAGCCTTCTTTTCAGTGTCTAGCGTATTATGATTGAAAAATATTTAGATATGATAAGACATATATTATAATGACAATATTCCTTTATTAATTTTTAGGAGAACATACATATGTGTGTGTAGAGTCTAATGCAAAATCTTAACATGGAGCGAGATAGCATTGATTTAGGGGATACAACCACTGATAATTTGTATCCTGCTCTCTTCCAATGTTTTGCAATTATTTTATGTGGGTGAGTATTTCACTTTTTTAAATTTCAATAAAGAACTTTATATTTAGCATGCAAAGGCTGTCTAAATACACAGCCTTTGCATGAACTTTAAATCCTGAAGTTCAAATAAATGTATAAAATTTTGAAAATAATAAATACTTAAATGTGACATTGAATAACCCATTTTGTACTATAAATATCAGGGAAATGAAATAAACTCAGGGTGCACTACTCAATACACTCATTTGAAAAACAACTCAGAAAATAACAATGCCAGGATTGCTATATAATATATGCAATAGATAAGTCTAGATAAAAAATTTTAATGTATGAAGAATTGCTGACTGCTGTATCTACGTATAGGATTGATATAGAACCCTTTGAAACAGAAGTCTGGTCAACTATGTTTTTCGCTATTATTGTTTTTGTACTGTCCATAGTATACAATAATGTGTACAATATATTCCTTTCAGGTACATAGCAGGTCGTCTCAATGTAGTGTCATCTACAGAATCCAAAGGAATAGCCACATTTGTAGGCACTTTTGCTTTGCCATCCCTAATTTTTCTCTCACTTGCTCGTCTAGACTTCAGCACTGTTAACTGGATGTTTCTACTAGCTATTCTACTGGCTAAAGGGATTATATTCTTTTCTGTGATAGCAGTCACCCTTCTTGTCTCAAAACCTATAAATTTGGGGACAGCAGGGATATTTGCCATATTTTGTACACAAAGCAATGACTTTGCTTTGGGATTTCCTATCAGTAAGTGTTATTTTCTGTTTGTATTAAAGTTGTACAGTATAGTATATATAGTATAGTTCAGTCATAATTTTTTAAATTTCTAGGCACAAATTGAATAATGGTTTACGAGTATGATTTAGTCAAGCAACAATTTATATCAATTAAATGTTTGTGTATTAATATTGAGTTCCTAATATATATATATTGCAGTTTATTAAGTGTTTTCCTGATAATTTCAGTAAATGCAATATATGGAAAAACACACCCTGAATATGCATTGTACCTTTATCTCATGGCGCCAATATCTCTGGCGATTTTAAACCCTGTGGCGTTTGTTCTAATGGAGATCAACAAACAAAGAGAAATCACTCAATCTGTAACAATTGAAGGCGATGGAAGGAAGCAGTTGTCCAAGATTAGAGTTTTGAAGCAAATTTTAAAGGGAATCACTTACAACCCAGTACTTGTTATGACGGTTTTGGGTATCCTTGGTAACATCTTGTTTAAACACAAATTGAGCATTTACATTGAAGGTCTTTTAGAGGTTCGTATTTCTATTTTAATGCTTATTCAACTACCTTTATATACTACTTACTACTTAGCTGTGGCCAACATGCACACTGAGGCAAGGAAATTTTAGACGATAGATGAATAGTAATATACCTTAGTGTTATGATCATTTGTAGCTACAAAAACAAAACTGCGGTAAGCTTAGGTATACCAAGCCGGCAGCCTCCGTTATGCCTCAGCAGCCTTCAGGTGCTTCAGCAGGCTTTTGAAGGTTATTCACCCAAAATTTTCTCCTTTTTGGAATGTGATTCTCTTTTTCTATAAAATATACAACTGGTATCATACATGCTTTCAACATTATAACTATAAACATCAACATTATAAATATTATTCAGATCACTGAAGAAATGCTAGGCGCGAGTATGAAGTCGCGACGTTATGCTTCGGTATGCCTAAGGATCCGCAACATAATTGCCATTAGTGTGTGCTTGTTTTAGAAATGGCAAAGAATCCCTTGCCATGCCATTTCGCCAATATGAGCCAGGTCTTACTAGTTGATGCTCCTGGAATCTAATATTATAATACAGGTTTGTTTTTGCATGTTCACATATTACCCTGTGATTACAGTATGGATGGTAAGATGCTACGGTTGATAATGTAGCCAGGTCAAACAAAATAATAATAATAACGTGCTGGACAACCACACCAATAACCTGGTCTCAAACTAGGGTATTTCCTGTACTATGAGTACTAGAGCAATGGAGTTCACCCCAGGGCACTACCCATAACACGTAGACCAGAACCAATTTAGAAAACTTCATTTTCCAAATTGATTCTACTGGGAATGTCACAGTGCAAACTTTAGCCCGTCGAGGTACTCGAAACTGCATTATGTTCACCCTATTACTTGCAAGCTTGAGTACAGTTTTTGAAACCAGTAAAGAACCTTACTATGTGGTCAGTTCTAATTCTTGTTGCCTCACTTCGAATTTGGCAACTAAAGAAGAAAGTTTATGTATATAAAATGTACTACCTACTTGTATGTTATCTTTGACATCCATGATGAGTGACTTGCACCACGGTTTTCATTGTAGCATTGTAGCATCCCCATCTGGGTCAATGTAGAAAGAAATCTTTTCTATATTGTATCCAGTCTGGATTTTTGTGATATTGTCGTTGTTTCCAATTTCTATAACACAAGCGATTTATTTACTTACTTTGGAATTGGAGCAACATATGTGATTATATTATCTTAGTGCCAATGCTTATAAATAAATTATATTTTCGAATTCTCAGGTGTTTGGGCAATCCTTTTCGGCTGCTGCTCTTTTCCTACTGGGGTTACACATGGTCGGACAGATACACAGGCTTAGAGGGCCAGCGCTTCTTTTGCCGTGCGTCTTAATCATGGTCAAATTGTGAGTATCTATTCTTCTAAGCAATGGGTTAATCTTAGGTCTCAGGGTAATCGTAGGTATATTCATAGATTATGAATCTAAGCTACCTGCTGTCCATCTCCTGTGTAGTTCCTTTCGCCGCCGCTCAATACGATTTCCAAGAAAATATGTTACACGTATATTGTAAAATGGAGAGGGAATTTCTAAGTAAAAGGAACACTTCAGATTATTTTCATTTAATATTTTGAGTTCGTTTGAAACTAATAAACCCACACATTTTACACCTATTTTTTTTTTAACTGTGTAAAATTTTTGTTTTCCAGAATAATTCTACCTGTAGTGATGAGAGAATTTGTTAGTTCGCTTAAAACTGGAGCAAATGAATCTGAGACTTCTTCTCTATCAACATATGCTTTTCTCTACGGGACTATACCCACTGCACCCGCCGTCTTCGTGTTTTCTAATTTGTACCAGCTGGAAATAGATCTGGTTAGTTTTTTCGACATAGGACACAACAAACACTTATTTTTAAGGAAAAAATACGAATAGATTGTAGTTTGGTTGAATGGTAAAGATGAATAGCCTCTTTGTGAGCCATTACCGTCTAGTTGTTGCCCAAACATCAGAGGCCTCGTCTTTTAATTATCGTAATCGACATTTCTAGCGAAATTTAGTTATTATTGCATACAAGTTGTACTAAATTAGTCAGTACAGATCAAACATGAACCCTGTAAGGGCACAGTAATGTCAGTTCTACATACTAAATAAATCAAAATTAGTATTACAATTAATAGCATTATCATTTAAAATTAGATAAAAAAATATAGAAATTATTACAAATGGTCAGAACTAAAATTAAGTAGTATGTATGTAGTCTTTGTCTAAAAGTTGGTTTCGATTTTATTTTATAATAGTTTATCATCAAATTATTTATAATATTTACTATTTACCTATATCAAAACGGCGTGGGTAGAATTGTTCCAGGAATTTGGTGATGTCTTATGGTAGTACGACAGTGTCTGCCAGTACTTCAGAATACTGAAAAATGTATGGCAACATTTAAAAGATATTTCATATGGTTTGACAAAGCTTCCATAACAAGTTTCCATCGTACGGAATAGCTACAGGTCTCTTTAACAGGGTACCAGGCTTCCTGGAGCGCCCTATCGATGCGAGGCAGTCATTAAAGCGAATTCTCCGATTTCTGTTCCATTCATGTCTCTCCTCTTGATACAAGTCAGCAATTTTTGAGTACGCCGCGGCTATAAGCACAGCTATTTTGTTTGATACAAGGTCCAGCAGTGAAGTGGAATCAGTCAAAGAAGTCATAGTGGAAAGAGTGAATTTAAAAGGCATGAGTGGCTGAATGAAGCCGTACCATTTAAGTAGAATTCAATGTCTGAGGCGCGTCTGTATTCCATTAAACTGCCTCCGTGGCCGAACGGTTACCATACCGGACTGCCACGCAGAGGTCCCCGGGTTCGATTCCCGGGCCGGGAGAAATATTTGTATGGCCTACATTTATTTCTCTCGTGAGTTTGGGTGTAATTTGTGGTTGTCTATGTGTGTGTCCATCAGTGTTGGGCGTTACTCAATTAAATTTCAATCAATAATTCAATCAGATTAAAAAATCAATTCAATTGAAATCAATTGCAATTAAATCAATTGCGACGCGTCGCAATTGATTTAATTGCGATTGATTTTAATTGCAATTGATTTTAATTGCAATTGATTTCAATTGAATTGATTTTACTTGCAATTAAATTTGCAATTAAAATCAATTCCGGTCGGTTGGGGGCCCCGGTTGGGAACCCCGCTTGGGGGCCCCGGTTGGGGGCCCGGTTGGAAGCCCCGGTTGGGGGCCCGGTTGGAAGCCCCGGTTGGAAGCCCCGGTTGGGGGGCCCGGTTAGAGGGCCCGGTTGGGGGCAGGTTGGGGGCCCGTTTGTGGGGCTCGGAGGGAGGCGCCCGGTTGGGGGCCCGCTTGGGGGGCCCCGGTTGGGGGCCCGTTTGTGGGGCTCCGTTGGGGGCCCCCAAACCGGAGCCCCCAAACCGGGGCCCCCAAAACCGGGGCCCCCCAAGCGGGCCCCCAACCGGGCGCC